ATGGAGTGGCCATTGGGAGCCATTATCTAGTGTGTAGGTTACCCATGACATGTTACAGAAATAGACAAGATGCTTTGCCTTCAGCTCAGGGGTAAGTTGGAGAGGTTTGGGATTTTTAAGCACTCAGTGGGGTCAAGGCAGGAAGAGAGGGTAAACTGCCCATGGTGGTTCCCAGCACCAGTTGAACAGAAGCTACTCAAGAAAGAGAAGGGATCTCTCTAATCAGTTCCTTGAGCCCAAGTGAGTGGACAGGCAACCAAACCAGATGTCCATGAAATTGGGTGGCCACCAAGGAGTCAGACTCCCAGGGGTGAGTGTGACCAGTACTGGGTTTTTGGAGCATGATTCAGGCTGGATCTAGAAAGCCACATAGAGTGAGGGGGAAAGCAGAGACAAGTGACAGACAGGAAGAGGTGACAGCATGTACATGACACTTACCTGACCTGGAGAAGGAACCAAGACTAGCAGCAAGTCACAGAGAGGTAGGGCCACAGGTCAGATGTCAAAGGCAGTCTCGAAGTGCCACAGAGGTTGCCTAGAGAGGGAGATCAGATCCTCCTAGGTGGAGATCTCAACCTTCCTGGGTTTTGGCACCAGATGTTAGGGTAAACTGAGGCACAGTGGAGACCACTGAGACAAGCAGACTTTAAGTAACATGTGAGGACTTTATTGCAGACTGGGTGGGGCCAGGCCAAGGGCAAAAAGACCACTGGCCCCAAGCAAGGGCAAGAGCATAGGACAGTTTAGGTGGGGGATGGGGGCACTGCTGAGTAGGGGCACAAAATTTGGGGTCTCTGAGTAGGGGGCCTAGGACTAGAAGAGAGATGGGGCAGTGTTGGGTACACAGGATGCTGGCAGGCACAGCATATCTCTTGTGGGTTTTTGAGGAATCAGCTCTCTGAAGGTTGAGCTGTGTGGGGCAGCTGCTAGCTGATGGAGCTGCACGAGGAAGCTGCTGGCTTCTTGAACAACACATTCCCACAGGGGTCAATAACAGATCTGCTTGGGGACTTTTTCTCTCCTAGCTGGGTGGGGGTCTGGTTTGGACACCTGATATAATCTGTGATATCCTATTTGAGAAAAATTATGATACTGCTTGACTATGGCAATGGGAACTTATACCAGTACGGTTTATATTCTGACATGACTGAGGGAAAAATTACCACCAAATAAAACATTGCAACATAAGCATGAAAAGTAAAATTTTGATAGTGGAAAAAAAACCCTAAAATTTTATGCACATGAAAATAATGGCTCCAATATCAAAGAAAAAATAGACAAAAGTATGTACTCCATTAATCTACAATTATGTTGGGATATACGCAGGTATCTTCTCAAGATGTGAAAAGCATAACATTTGCTAAGCTACATATTATTTGTAAGCAATTTAACTTTAATAAAAAACTCATGTTCACAAGTCTCTAAAAATATAGATCTTAATATAAAATATAGCATCCAATTCAGCAATATCTTTTATTATACAGAAGATATAGTAAAGTATAAGCTAATAGAAAGACATGAATTACCAAAAAAATCAGTACAGTTTTTTTTAGTTGTCATTACCTCCCAATCTATAAAATAAACACGAAAACCCCCAACAAAAACTACATAAATACTAAGCCTACTGGAAAGTAAATGAAATGCTTCATCTATACATTGAATATAATGTAAAATAAATGAAAAAGTGACCATCTAACTGGATTAAAAGGTACTACAGATCAAGCTCTGAGAGTATTGCTTACAGGAAAATACAGAACTATGTCAGCTCCATAGTTATGTTTAATGAAAACCCTGTAATGCTTTGTGTCTAGATGTCCTCCCCAAAGCCTCATATAGACATAGGGCTATTTTGGAGGTGGCTGAATCTAGAGTATGTAATACTGGGATTATTACTCATCAGTCTACTGATTGGTTTGGCACTGCCCTAATGCTAGCAGTCTGGATAAGATATAAGGGGTAGAAAGACACTGTTAATCCCACTTGTTACTTTTGCTACCTTGTTGGTGGCATGAACTGCTACCCCTCTGCCATGTGCTCTGCTACCATGCAACCAGCTGATTATGGACTGAAACCTCTGCAAACTCTGAGCTAAATAAACCTTTCCTCTTTTAACATCAGGTGTGAGGTATTCTGTCTCAGCAGTGTGAGAAAAGTAATTAAGACACCCTACAAATATATAATTCAGAGTTTTACTGAGCAAGGAAGTTACTGAAAAACACTGTATTTATACTTTACAATATCTCTTTTGGGTACTGTATTTTCTGGGGCACTCTACACAGAAATATATGACATTGTGTCAATAGTACCCAAGATATTTTCATAGGATTTGCAAAATATGCTTAAATGCACATGGTTTTCCCCTAGTGTGACTTGTTTCATGCATTTGAAAATATTTTGTGGCTTCTGAATGATTTTCCACATTGCTTACACACATAGGGTCTCTTAACAGTGTTCTTTTGTGATTTCAAAGTAATGTGTTATGAGTGAATGCTTTTCCACACTGCTTACACATGAGGTTTTTCCCCAGTCTGAGTTCTTTTATGAATTTGAAGTGATACATTGTAAGTGAAGGCTTTCCCACATTACTTACATACATAGGGTTTCTCCTTAGTATGAATTCTTTCATGTATTTGACAATATTTGTATACACTGAAAGCTTTGCCACATTGTTTACATGTATAGGGTTTATCCCTAGTATGAATTCTTTCATGTGTTTGACAATACTTCTTTGTACTGAATGCTTTCCCACATGTTTTACATACATAAGGTTTTTCCCCTTTGTGACTTCTTTCATGGGTTTCACAATACTTGTTTGTAGTGAATGCTTTCCCACATGTTTTACATACATAAGGTTTTTCCCCTTTGTGACTTCTTTCATGGGTTCGACAATGACTTTGTCTACTAAATGCTTTCCCACATTGCAAACATACATAGGGTTTCTCTCCAGTGTGACTTCTTTCATGTCTATACAATGCACTGCTAGTAATAAAAGCTCTCCCACACTGCTTACACACATAAGGTTTTTCCCCTTTATGAGTTCTTTTATGTATTTGACAATAACTGTATGTACTGAACGCTTTCCCACATTGCTCACATACATATGGCTTCACACCTGTGTGACTTCTTTTATGTCTACCCAATGAACCACTAGCAGTAAAGGTTTTTCCACACTGCTCACACATATAAGGTTTCTCCCAAGTGTGAATTCTTTCATGTCTTTGATAAAAACTGTGTGCACTAAAAGCTTCCCCACATTGCTTACAAACATAAGGTTTTTCCCCAGTGTGTCTTCTTTCATGTATTTGACAAAGACTGTGTGTACTGAAAGTTTTCCCACATTGCTTACATATATACGGTTTCTCTCCAGTGTGCCTTCTTTCATGTATTTGACAAAGACTGTGTGTACTGAAAGTTTTCCCACAATGTTTACATACAAAGGTTTTCTGGGCAGTGTGTCTTCTACATGTTTGATGACTGTGCATTGTGAAAGCTTTCCCACATTTATCATGGTGATTCCGAGCTTTGTATTGACAGCTTTTCTCTACCTCTTCATTTCTGTGAAGAAATAAAAATAAACAAACCAATCACAATAAAAGGTGCCTCTTAAGAATTTCTGACAACGAATTGAATAATTATGCTGGAAGATGCCTATTAAAAAGAGCTATTACCAAACAAAAACCTGTTTCTTTGGGATTTTTATAACTGTATATGTTTGCAGTACACAATGTTTACTTTCATTTTGGGGAATTGGTACATATGTATAGCATATAGCAACTACTTTTGACCCTTTTCCCATCAATCTCCCCATTCTCTCCTTTTGATCCTCTTACTCATCTCCAAAAATTCTGTCTCCCTGTTTTCTACCATCTCTATTTTACTCCTAAACATATATTTTGGGTTTCTCATAAAAGAGAAACCATTTGATATTTAATGTCTGTGTGCCAAATATTGCATTTAACATTATGGGATAAAGGTCCTTCCATTTTGGGGGGTGGGGTTGGCAAACGACATCAATTTATTCTTTTTATGACAGAAAGTATAGCACCTTTTTGTCTGGTTTTTTCCAGTGCTGAAAAGTAAACCCAAGATTCTTACTGCTGAATTACATCCTCGGCTTTTAAAAAAATGGTTTTTGGAGAAACGTTCTCATCAGTCATTAAGTTTGACTGTCTGAGCTTGAAGCTCTCATCTTGCCTGAGGTTTCCAGGGCACAGTGATTATAGCATGTACGAGCAGCTAGAGAGCTAGTTATTGTGAACCTGAACTAAATTTGAACATGGCCTCATATATACAGTTTGTGTGGTTTTTATATTTCTGTTCACAGCCTGACTCTTGAGAAACATTGCTCCTTCTTGTGTAAGCAAATTACCTTGGATGTCTCCATGAATTTTTCTTTTTTTCTTCATTTTGTTGGTTCTCCCAGTTTCTTCCTGAATTGCAGACATAGAAATAAAATGAGTTAATATTTTTACATACAAAGTACTAGATGCCAGTTATAATGTGACTACATATAATGTGACCATGCCTAGGACATTGATACAAAATTTTTATATTCTTATAATGAAAATATACCAATGTCCAAGAAAAACTGTTCTCCATTTGATTTAGAATATGAGGTCATTCTTACCTATAGCAGCCACGTTCTGACAGGTTTCCCACATCACATCTCTGTAGATCTTCCTTTGGGATGGATTCAGCAAAGCCCACTCCTCCATGGTGAAGTTCACAGTCACATCCTCAAAAGTTATTGCCTCCTAAATAATCACACATACCATATTTCCAGAAAGAAGGTTGAGACTTACTGTCTGGAACATCTCAACTCCACTCAGAAAGGGCTGAATTGAGGGTGAATCATACACACACACATATATATAAAGTATAACGTATAATATATATAATGTACATAATATATATTACAATGTATGTGTGTGTATATATGTATATATAAAGTGTATATTCTCTTTTGTTTTTTTGAGACAGAGTCTCACTGTGGAGTTCAGGCTGGCCTTGGACTCAGTAGGCAGCCCAGGCAGGGCTCAAACTCATGGCAATCCACCTGCCTCAGCCTCCCAAGCCCTAGGGCTACAGTTATGCAACAGCACATCTAGCATGAATCATTCGAATATTAACTTCATGTCTTAGTCATCAAACTCTTACCCTCCATCTATATGCACACCTTCTCTCACAGCAGTTCTGATGCTAGATAATTCATTGCTAAAGCAATAGTAGAATAAGAATACTACTTTTCCTGCTGACCTAGCAGTTGTATTTTTGCACTGTCCCTAGTGCACAGCTCATAGAGGGAACCTACAAGATCACCAACCACAGAACACGAAGGTAGGTGAATATTAATCAACTGCTTCAATAACCATAGGAAATATCTTTTTCCAAATATTATTAGTTATGAAATTGAGTCCTTTTTTTCTAGTAGTACATTAATAGCACTTTTAAAGTTGAATCTGCTTTCATAGAAAAAATTCAATTAACATTAACTAAGATTTATGAGTAATAATTGAAAATGCTAGTGGAAAACCGGTTTTATTGGAGGATGTATAAGGACAATGAAACTAGGTGAAGAATGGCATATTATTTTACTGCTCAGTGACACCAAATGTTAACACTCACATGGATATAAGGTGTAAGGTAGAGTTATAAGAGGAAGAATATGATCAAAATATATGCATTGAAAATCAGTATTTTGCAAAGTTCTTTGGGCACTAATAATAAAAGTAAAACTTCAAGAAAAACATGGTTTCACTTCAGAATCATACCTTTGATTTGTCAAAAAATAAAACAGAACAAAACAAAAAACCTTAAACTGCTCAGTACATTAAAAATCTAACAGTGTTTAATACCTTGTAAATATTGTGAGTTTGCATAATAAACATGAGAGGAATTCCAGATTTACCACTGAAGCCACTATACAGAGAATGACAAATGGATCACAAGACAGTTTTTAATGGGTCCACCTGTAAATAAAATATTGATTAATGATTGTAGAGCTGGTGATGTACAACCCTGGAGAAAATCATAGTCCATTTCATATATGACAGGGGAGAAACAGGTAGGTACTTGGAAATCTGTACTGCATATTCATCATTTCTATGTACAATAATAATGTTACATATTGAAATGGGAAAGAGAAACTTGAATGCCCTGAAAATTCATAGTAAAATAATTTTAGATGTGAAAAAAAGTTTCCTCAGAACAAAATAAGCTATCAGAATATAAATGAGAAATTTAAAGCTATAAAAATCATGGCAGGGAAACATGACAGAAGAAAAATTTGCATAGTATACAATATTCACAATCTGTTTAGAGAGTAAAGAACATAAAACACAAATCTTAAAAATGACTAAAAGATATCTAACACTAGAGAAAACACCAGATATAAAATAAGATCCATGACAATGGCTGAGGAAGGGCCAAGGAAAATGGAAATGTAGAAGAAAACAAGTATGCAAGAATAAAAGATCAATTAATATACTGCACACTCATTTCCTGTACTTTGGAGCTTACCAAAATCTATAGTGCAATGATATTATTCTAATGTCCAAAGAACACACTGTGCTATTGTTCCTGGAAACACTTGTGATTGTTTTTTTATCAATAAAAAGTAAATTTGAAAAAGCCTGAACCACATCCTCAATGGAATGGATGACAAAGCACTTCCCCCCTCACTCACATAAGAGCACCTATAAATAATAGTGAGACAACAACAAAAAAACCCAACAACAACAAAACCAAAATGCTTTCATATGCAATTTTTTTTTTTTTTTTTTTGGTACCAAGGATCAAACTCAGGACCTTATGCTTGCCAGGCAGGCACTTAGGCCACTGAGCTATATCCCTGGCCTTCATATGCAATTTCTATGAGAGTTACTTATTGACGATTCCAAGGTGGGAAACTAAAGATTACTGCTCAGAGAAAACCACATTTGCTGAATGTAGGAAATGTAGCCAAATTAGGAAAGTGGTCATGTATAAGGCAAGAAAGGGAGGAGCCAGGTATGGTATCACCAGGATACTCTTATCTACTGCACATATTGTTTTTATTAAGTCTCACCAAATTTTTTTCTAGAATAAAGTTTATTATAAAATATTTAAACACTAAATTACCACTAGGAAAGTACATATTAATTTATATCTGTTTGTCTAACTTCAAACATGGAAGGCCAAGACATAACTCAGTAAGCTCAAGGCCAGTCTCAACTGCATAGAAAGACATTTGGAAAAACAAAAGGAAAACAGGTCAGAAAGTCAGAGAAATACAGCACAGTCATTAGAGCTGATCAACATATAGACATCTTGCTTGTGGTGAAAATACTATGCCCACTGTAGAGGAATGGTTATTACACTGACGCTGATAAGGCTATGGCAGAAAAATCCAAGAGGACATGCAAAGGAACATTAATTCACATCACCCAGAGCTCAGGCTAGCCATGGAAGGCCTCTTAAGCAGGTACCAAGTGTCATGAGACAATAAAAAAGGAGCCTTGCCTGAGAAGTTACTGTGGTTAACAGGAAACTCACAGTGAGAATTCATTTCCACAGGTAGGTTAAGTATCTGCCAACTTCAGAGTTGTGGATCCCTGGTTGTGATCACATCATCTCCAAATGAGACAGAAATGGAAGGAGTGTGGAGGATTAAATATTGTCACTAAAAATAAAAAAAATTAATTCACATATTTCTACTTTCCAGTTCAACAAGAAAATATTTCTATCAAAACAAGAAAAAAGGAAACAAATTTAAAGTCCACAAAACTTCTGTACTAAACCAATCCATTTTTTTTAAACCAGGAAAAAAAAGGAGGCCCACTGACAGAAGCATAAATTACACTGACAGAAACCTAGTAGAACTGTAGTAGGGGAACTTTCCTTTAAATGTGAGTTATTTTTAAAACAACTGAGAGAGCAAATGAGAACATAGATTAAGAAACATGATTCAACTTTCTGTTTTCTGTGAGAAAAAAATTTTTTTTCTTAAGAACAAAGAAATGGATATACTGTTTAAATTTTTTAATTTTATTTCGGCAGGAAAAAGTAAGTTTAAGACCCTTATTGTACACTACTGTGAACATTGTTAAGAACACTGTAATTTACTCTATAAAATTATCACAGGATTCAATATAAAGTGTTCTCACTTCAAAAAATTATAGTGAAATAATGTTTGCTGCTTTTTGCCATCTGACAATGTATGTTTCAAACCATCAGGCATTAAATTATACATGTATTCAATTATTATTTGTCAGAAATGTATACAAATATTTTAAAAATATAACAAGATAAAATAAATATGCAAAAAGATACAGTAGTCTAGCATTAATTCAACAAAACATGCTGAGGCTATATTAACTTGACACTATTCAATCTAACACGTAATTATGTACCAAGGACAAAAACAGGATTACTGATCATAAACATTACACCACATGCAGCATGGAGTGTCAAAGAAATAATTTTACAAATATTAGAAGCCCACACTTGAAAGAGACTCACCTCAGATATAATAAAAAATTGCAAGATAAAATCACAAAGAAAATGTTTACATTTAGGTAGACACATATAAATAAGATTGTTCCATGTGTTTAAAAATTATACAATAGGAAGCAGTGCAGGCACAGGGAAGTGATGCTGGAGCGGCCCCCTCCCTGTGGACCTCTCCATTGGCAGGTGAGGCCTGCCCCTATGCCCTACCCTGCTACTTTGGGAGGAGAAGCAGCATGGGAGTGGCCCCAGGCTCTGTGGACCTCTCAGTTGGGAGGTAAGGCACATCCTCCCTCAACCAGCTACCTGCGGAACTTGGAGCAGCGGCCCCTGTCTGGCCACCATCAGGGTTCACACCTCAGGCCCACATGATTTCCACTGATGGCCTGGAGACCCTGGTACCAAAGGCCAGCATTCCCCCACCACCGCAGTTGTAGTCTGAGCTGTGCACCCCACCAACTGCCTGAGGATCGTGGGTCCAGTGGTCCACTGCCCTCTACCACCTTGGGATAAGTCTGATATCCAGGTAAACTAAGGTCCCTAGAGACCTTCGGTGAGCTGCTTGGGTAGTGTGTGGCTCAGCATTTTCCATCTGACATGCAAAAATGACAAGATATAGGAGAAAAATGCAATCTCAGAGCTCAGCTCCACCCAGAACAAGTCTAGGAGACACTGACATAGGAGAACTTGGAAGTCACATACCTGAAATCTCTGAAATGATCACAACTGAAGTAATGAAACAACTCCAACAGGCCACAGAAGAAATCAGATCAGAAATAATCACCCAGATAAAAAAGAAATGACATCAATAATGAAAGAACTGCTCAGCACATCTAAACAAGATATATATAGAAAAAATAGATGAGCATAGGAAAACAATGGAAACATTAAATGAACAATACAGGTCAGAACTAGAAGGCACGAAACAGATTCAAAGAGATATCCAGGAAATCAAAACTTCCATTGAAAGTTAGCAAAACTGCTTGAATGAGGCTAAAGATAGAATTTCAGATATATTTTTTTTTTTTTTGGTTTTTCTCCGGTACCGGGAACTGAACTCACGACCTTGCGCTTGCCAGGCAGGCGCTTTGCCGCTGAGCTAAATCCCCAGCCCCAGAATTTCAGATATTGAAGACAGTATGGCAGCTAATGATCATGAAAGGGAGGATCTCTTAAAATCAACAAGGATCCAGGAAAAATCAATCCAAAAGCTGCAAGATGAGGCAAAGAGAAATAATGTAAGACTAATAGGAGTCAATGAAACAGCAGGAGGCAACACAAATGGCGTAAAAAGAATATTTGCAGAAATAATAGCAGAAAACTTCCCAAGCATGGAAAAAGATTTTGATGTACAGGTAAATGAGGCATACAGAACCCCAACTAGCCATAACCAAAGTAAACCCACACCCAGACACATATTAATCAAGATCTCAGATATCCAGTAAAAGAACAGAACATTAAAAGCCATTAGAGAAAAGAAACAGATCACCTATAAAGGAAAGCCCATCAGAATCACAGCATATTTCTCCACACAAACCATCAAGTAGAGAAGAGCTTGGAGTGAAGGATTACAGGTCCAGAGACAAAACAGCTTCCAGCCAAGACTGATGTATCCTGCCAAACTGTCCTTCAAATTCAATGGAGAAGTAAAATATTTCCGTGACAAAGAACAACTGAAGAACTTCATGAATGCCAAACCAACCTTACAGAGAGTACTAAAAGATAGTCGAGACAGAGACAAAAATGACCACAATTTCAAGAACAATAGAAAGGAACCCTCAAGCAGAGCAAGCAATTAAACAGAGAGAAAAAGGAAGTCAACAGCAAGTAAATAACATGACAAAAATACGCCAACACATATCAGGTATAATCATTAATGTAAATCGCCTCAATTCACCAGTCAATAGAGACAGACTGGCAGGGTGAATCAAGAAACAAATCCAACAATATGCTGTATACAGGAAACACATTTTACTCAAAAGGAAATCCATAGACTGTGGTCAAAGACGGAAAACTATTGTCCATGCAACAGGAACATATGAATTACCAAAGTTGAATGAAGAAGATATAAAAATCCTGAGCAACCCAATACTAATGAGATTGAAAACATGATTAAAAGCTTACCAACAAAGAAAAGCCCAGGTCCTGATGGATTTACAGCTGAATTCTACAAGAAAATTAGAGAAGATTTAATGCCAATACTCCCCAAACTCTCCAATGAAATTGAAAAGGAAGCAATTCTCCCTAACTCATTTCTGGAGCCAAGTATTATACTAATATCAAGACCAGAGAAATACACAACCAAGAAAAACAACTACATGTCAATCTCCCTAATGAATATAGATGCAAAGATACTCAATAAAATACTGGCAAATAGAATGCAGCAAATCATCCAGAAAATAATACACCATGAGCAGGTAGGATTCATTCCAGGAATGCAGGGATGGTTTAATATTTGCAAACCAATTAATGTAATACACCATATCAATAAAGCCAAAGACAAAAACCACATGATCATCTCAATAGATGCAGAAAAAGCTTTCGAGAAAGTCCAACATGTGTTCATGATAAAAAACAGTAAAGAAAACAGGAATAGATGGTCTTTACCTCAATCTGATCAAACTGAAACCAAGAGCCAACATCATACTAAATGAAAAAAAACTGAAAACTTTCACTTTAAAATCAGGAACAAGACAAGAATGTCCACTGTTACCACTCCTATTCAATATAGTTCTGGAAGTATTAGCCAGATCAATTAGACAAGAGAGAGAAATAAAAGGAATGAAATAGGAAAGGAAGAAGTGAAATTATCACTATTTGCAGATGACATGATACTTTACATGGAAGACCCCAAAAACTCCACCAGAAGCCTCCTTGAACTAATCAACAAATTCAGTAGTGTAGCTGGATACAAAGTCAACACTCAAAAATCAATAGAATTCTTGTACACAAACAAACAGACTGAGAGAGAAATTACGGAAACCATACCTTTCACAATAGTATGCAAGAAACTGAAATATTTAGGAATCACTCTAACAAAAGAAGTAAAAGATCTATTCAATGAAAACTGCAGTACTCTGAAAAAAAGAGATCAAACAGGACTTCACTAAGTGGAAAAATATTCTTTGTTCATGGATAGGAAGAACCAACATTGTGAAATGGCCATACTACCAAAACTGTTGTACAGATTCAATGCAATTCCCATTAAAATACCATTAGCATACCTCACAGATGTAGAGAAAACATTCCTTAAATTCATCTGGAAGCAGAAAAGACCCAGAATAGTAAGAGCAATCCTGGGCAACAAAGACAAGTCAGGTGGAATCACATTCCCTGACCTGAAACTGTACTACAAAGCTACTGTAATAAAATCAACATGATACTGGCTAAAAAACAGACCTGAGGATCAATGGAACAGACTGGAAGACACGGCCAGAATCACAAACATAATCAGCCACCTAATCTTTGATAAAGGGGCCAAACAAGCTCACTGGAAGAAATGGTGCTGGAGAAATTGGCTTGCCACTTGCCGAAGACTGAAAATAGACCCCAGTCTATTACCATGCACCAAACTTAAGTCAAAATGGATCACAGATCTCACTCAATATTAAAACAGAAACACTAAATTTACTGGAAGAGAAAGTAGGTAAAAATCTTGAAGACACAGGGGTAGGCAGAGAGTTCATGAACAAAAACCAAACCACATGGGAAATACTTCCAAGAATCAACAACTGAGACCTCATCTTACTAAAAAGTGTTTGCGCATCTAAAGAAATCACCAGCAAAGTAAAAAGAATGCCCATAAATTGGGAAAAAATTTTAGACAGCTGTCCCTTGGACAAAGGTCTTCTATCTAGAACATATAAAGAATTAAAAAACATCTGCCCCCCAAAATTCAAAGACCCAATCCAGAGATGGGCATCTGAGATGAATACGCACTTCTCAGATGAAGAAATACAAATGGCAAATAAATACATGAAAAACTTTCGACATCATTGGTCATTCGAGAGATGTACATTAAGATAAGGCTGAGATTCCATCTCACTTCAGTAAGAATGGCTACCATCAAGATATCAACTAACAACAAATGCTGGCGAGGCTGTGGAGAAATAGGAACTCTTCTCCACTTCTGGTGGGAATGCAGACTGGTGAAACCACTATGGAAACCAGTGT